ATCATCATCATGATCATCATCATCCTCACAATCGTCACCATCATCACCAGAATCATCATCACCACCATCATCATACATAATCGTACATAATCAAACTTAATCATCATCATCATCACCCTCATCATCACCATCATCATCATCACCATCATCATCACCATCACTACCACCATCATCACCACCACCATCATCATCATCAACATTTCATCATTTCATCATCATCATCATCACCATCACCATCATCACCACCAGCATTTTCACCATCATCATCATCACCACCATCATCACCATCATCATCATCATCCTTACCACCATCACCATCATCACCATCACCATCATCACCATCATCATCACTATCATCATATTCAACTGGTTTTATTAGACAACGTTGTGATATACTATTCTTTTGGCATTAAGAGATCAAACCGCAATTTATTGATAGTATATTGCTATACATTGGTCATTCATTATTATGAATCACCCTCAGCATTTTGGCCTACAATATTTATCCAGTTTCCGGTTTGGGGTATCCTGATGTAATTTACTACTGTACTTTGTGGCTTGTTTTTGTGAGAATTTACTTGAAAAATCCGGACATATAATCCCTTCCCCCTAAACAGTAATACCCCAGAGAAACCATGGTTTAGTAGGGGGACCATTTAGGATTCTTTTTTAATCTTAGGAGGATGGGATTGATACAATATATATATATATACATATATATATATATGTATAGCTGTCAAAACCCGAATCCGGACATATCTTGATAGAGTCGACTTCGGCGCGCATGAATTTAGGACACGGCACCGAAGTTGTAAGCCTCGTTCCAAATGAAAAATTGAAAGCCAATGGTTTCCACTTGATTCCAGGTCAATGGATGATCCAGAAGCCGCATATCATACAAATAATTTGATATGAAATTGTGTGACACACAACTATACATACATATGTTTCTTTGGATGGTGAATGTTTTTAGGTATACCGGCATACCCAAAGAATATACATTGTAAATATACAAAGACATACAATATATATATATATACACTATATATATAGTTATATATATATACATACATGTTATATTTATATGTATGTACATAGACACTTGAAAACCTTGGTGGCCTTCGTACTGGTGAATCTCTTGGGATTTCCACGTCGCCGCGTAGGTGAAGAGTTGGGCCATCAAGACCCCCCCGGCGCAATCTGCAAGGACCCGACAGTTGATGTCCAAATGGTTTGTTCAAGTCATTGGGTGCCCCAATCATTGGATGGTCAATAATGGGATTTAATGGGATTTTATGGTGGTTTTATGGGATCTAATGGGATTTAATAGGATTTACCCTCTGGTAAATGGGATTTATAATGACTTAATGGGACTTAAAATAGTGATTCAATGGGATATTGTCATGGGATATACCCTCTGGTAAACTAACAGTTTGCTATTGAACATGGCCCATAGAAATAGTGGATTTGCCCATTAAAAATGATAAATGGTGGATCTTTCCAGTTCGTTTTTTGTATGTTTACCAGGCCGGGTAATAACGGTCAAGAACTGTTAATACTAAAAATGGACCAAAATCGATGGTCCCAGAATCTGGAATTTTGACCTCCCACATCTTGCCGGTCCTGAAAATGCCGATGGACCTAGGGCCTAGGACATCCTAGGACCCCAAAAAGTGCCTAATGTGGTAGTTGTTTTTTTCTCCATGTTTTTTCAACATCTTTTGGTGGGCTCCGCATTTTTCGAAGGACCAGATGGGGTGGATGGTACGGCCTCTGGGTTCCGAGAAACCAGTGGGGACCGGGAGGGCTGAAAATACCTTTCTTAAATGATGACATTTCAATAGGGGTTGCCAATTTCGTGAGATATCTATACCAAATCTATACCATACCTATACATACCTATACCATATCTATAGCATCTAGAATCTACATTTCTAAACTGTTTGACTTTAGGTGGCTTGGGGGCCTCCGGTCATGGCATGTGGGCTCTGACCGGGGCGACTCCGCAAGCGGAGCAAGGTTGGGCAGCGGAGCACTACTGGCAGTTGTCCGATAAGATGCAGGCATCGCTTGCCACTTTGCCGCAGTGGTAAGCGGTTTCTCCAACGTTTTCTGTCCACAGATTCTTTTTGGAGAAGGTAAATGATCCTAGGTCGACGGAAGTGGTGACTATCAATGTGGAAAGAAACATCTGTCACCCAGATGGCAATGGCCACGTCACTGGCAGTTACTGGCCCATTTGTTCGCAAGAAATCCAGGATTTGAATTGAAGGACCCACTCCATTAGTGTCAAAAAGCAATGGTTCCCTTCAGATTTTCAGCGAATCAATCCGATTTCATGGTTCTATCATGTTCAATCCATCTGTTTCTGGCACTATCCCCATCTGTTCCGCCTCTAAAACGCCAATCCCAGGACAAGAATCGCATCTGGCAGGTTTTGGCCTCCAAGACGGGCATGAAACCGGGCCAGTTCCTTGAACTGGGTGAAGTTCGACGGAAAATACATGAAAATACACCAAACACACAACTGGTTGGTGGTTTCAAATATTTTTTCTTTTCCATTTCATATATGGTTGGTGGTTACATATATGGGACGAACTCATATTTTTCAGAGGGGTAGGTCAACCACCAACCAGCCAAACACATATGTTTTTTTTTTTTTCAATGGGGAAATCACATGAAATCACTGCGTCCCGGTGAGCTACTTTAGTGTAACATTTAATCTTTGCTATCAATGGAAACATGTTCTAATTAGCCAAACACGATTTTGTTTGGCGTCTAAGATTCGCCATGATAACTAGCAGCTAGCACTAAACTGGGAACATTATGGTGATGTAAATGTAATGGAATATAACTGGATAAAGGTCACTATTCTCATGGTTTGCACCCATGAAAAGCGTAAATTTGGGGATGGTGGATCCCGTTGCTTTGCGAACACTATAATGTGCGTCAGGGTCAAAACATGGGTTTTCCATCCCATGTTGGGGGATGGTTAATTGATTCAGTGGGGATTACATACCTATTATTAGAAGGATTCCGATCGTGGGATGGGTGGGATGGATGACCATAAACCACATACAATGTACAATGTTTTGACCCTAGCACATATCGTTTTAATGGGAATATATCTATATAATGGAATATATAGCTATGCAACTGTAACCGACTTCATGTGATATTTGGAGTTAGCCTCTGTGATTTCTGACACTTTGCAACCTGACAGTTAGCACCACCGACTTATACGAGGTAAACCGGTAAACCATCGACCAACTGGGCAATCCATTGGGATTGATTCGATCTATCCAGCAAGACCCAGCCAGTGGTGATCTCGCAGTGATCTAGGCTGTTGTAGGCTGTTGAATCATGTGAAAAATCTGTGTTTTTTTGTTGGAAAACATCTTGACATCACCAGACACAACGTTTTTGTTATGCTGATTTAGCCAGTAAGAATTGATAATCCCCCCATCCCCAGATCATCTTGAACCTTCGGGACTCAGCCAGGGTCCTTGGGTAAACATGGCTGGGAATTTCCTCGAGTTCGATGATTTTCAATTAAATCTCCATCTACGGAAACCAATGGAAACCAGATTGAACTCTGAATTTCCCACTATTTGAGCAGGATTTCACTTTTCGACATCTTTTTGGGGATTGCCAAATGTTTTTGGCAACCTCCTTAAAAAGGCGCCGAGGTTAGTGTGAAACCAGGTAGGAAGCATGGAAGCCAGGTAGTTCGAAACGATGTTTTGCTCCCATAGTTTCCAGGTTTCTGACTGATTCTGTGGGGACTTTAGCCTGGAAGTTATACAGTTATACATAGTTATCCCCTCTGGTGTCATCAGCCACGGAATCAACTCAATGGAGATTTTAATGGAAAACCCAGGGATTTCCCAGGCATTTTTGATTCTCCGGGGCCCCGGGGGTTGACAGCCGTCAGGTTGGTGCTCGGTGTGGCGGAAACTCGGTATAGCTACCAACAAAAACATGACATGGTGATTTTTCATGGTGAATTTTCATGAGATATTCATGGGATGTTGGTGGAATATTCGTGGATATACTGGAAGTGATACTTCGTAGTGCGGGTTGAATGGTGGTCTTTTTCGTTTTTTTTTTAAATGGAGTTTTCTGGCAAAAAGTTATCTGTCTGACGTGGCGGATGAAGGATACCCTCGTCATCAAACATGGCTACCCTCTGGTAAACTAACATAGCTATTGAAAATGGCCATTTATAGTGAGTTTTCCAACTAAAAATGGTGATTTTCCACAGTTATGTTAGTTTACCAGAGGGTAAACATGGCTAGCTGGGAAATCCCCGAACTGTGCCACTGTGCTTTGCTGGGAAAATCATCGAAGTCTGTGGGGGATTTTGAAAAAAGTGCCGTGGCGGTGAATGACAGCTGGGTGAATGACCGACTGTGGCAACTGCTGGGAGATTTATGGGGTTTCCATGGCCCTTTGGTTTGATGATTTTTGTTGGCGAATTCGGCAAATGGTGATTTTTTTGTACCAAGGCGCGGCTTGGGATTCCAGGTTTGGGTTTATCAAGGGCTGTGGCAAAGCACCAACCACTGGAATTTTTCCATCTCCCAAGATGAGTGCAGTAGCCCCAAAGGGGCCTCCAATGGTCCGTCATATACAGATTTCTTCCATTCCTTGTTGTATCATAGAGCTAAATATGTTGAAGGATTTCTGGTGCAATTGTTGCTTGGGTGTTTCACACCTTTGGCTGAGAGTCTTAGTATGGGATCATCGACAAGAACAGGTCTCTTTGGAGATCTTTCAGCTTCCTCGGGTGGAGCTGTTCTATCAACAAGTGTGCGTCATCACGTGCGTCTATGTGTGCCCATCCTTGGGTGACCCCTTTATATATATATATATATCATCGATATCACCAATCACATCCAATCACCCAAAATCTTGCATGGAATTCAGTGATGCAGATGCACTTTTTTTTTTGCACATGCACATGGAGCACATATGCCAGGAAGGGACGATCCTATGCAAAGTGAGTTTTCCAATCTGGGGTCCTTTGGAGCTTTGGATCATCATGACGCTTGGGCGTAACCTGAAGGGAACCAGAACGGAAGCAGAACGGAAGCTTCGGAACGTTCTCAGCAAAGTGGGATGGTTGATATCGTCGTTCAAGATCTTTTAAGTATCCATGGGAATCAAGTCCTGTGAATAAGCTTTATATACATTGCCCACTGTTGAGATCCCTATGGCCCTCTGGTCGTGTTTTGGCCACGGCGAACATTGAGTGGGATATTACCAGTTGTACCAGTTGTATTGGGCAAAGCAGCAAACCATGTCCTTATTCTTGGCATTTTACCATGTCATAACCCATGATGTAATCCCATTTTACCAATTTCTGCTTTGCAAAAAACCCGGGTGACAGCAGGAGTGACTGAAATCATGTGGCCAAAATGCAGCTCCATTGCTCTTCACATGCTTTTCACAGGTAAAATCCAACGTCTGTTGGTTACATATATGACAGTTATGATAATATGTTTGCATACCCATTGTTATCCCCTTTGTGTTTCAACAACGGCAGCCGTTCTTTAGAACGTTCCTTAGACGTTCCCTTCCCGGTCCCTAGGAACGTCTTGCGGCGCCGGCGGCGACAGACGGCGGATCTCTACGAGGAGTATTCCCGAGCGGCAGAAGCCACGGAGGATGCAGCCAAGATTTCGCCGGGCTTCCTGTGACGTCCCTGACACACTTTGAATCACAACTGGTGGCCGAATGCCTAGGAAATTATATAATCATATGGAAGGATAACGCATATATAAGATCAACTCTAGAGTAAGTGCCTCCAAAGCTGCGAATGGTCTAAAATCATTCAAACAGGAAATCTGTCGAATTCCCATGGCATGAAACGGCACATTTCGTTTCATTTCGCCCTGCGCGTTTCGCAAAAAAAATCCGGGCAGCTGACAGTGTCAAGCCGGGGCCGGTCAGGTCACCGTTGATATCCGGTGGGATATGCAACATTGTTACCCTCTGGTAATTTAACATAGCTATTGAAAATGACCATTTATAGTGGATTTACCCAATGAAAATGGTGATTTTCCATAGTTATGTTAGTTTACCAGAGGGTATCCAACATTACTCATGTCAACCCTGGATTAATCAACCCCTAGCCTAGGCTGTTTAATTCGGAGGGTACAATTTTATATCATTTTGGGGGGGTATTCCCCCGATAGTCATGACTTGATACTGAAATGGTACCCTCCCTTTTTGCACAGCCGTTTGGGGTTTATTCATCCAGGGTTGAGATTATCCAACATGGTCATTTTGGATGTTTCGTTTCAGAAAAGGGGACCTGAAGTTGTTTACATTTGTTTGCATTACCATATTGAGCCTCCGGTACCAGGCTCATGCTACCAGGGCACCTTTTTATCTTTTTGAGGTCCACTCTCAATGGTTCCCCACCTCTGCATGTCTAGTATTCTCTGGTTTCACTTCTCCATGGTTGGTTTTTGCCCAGTCAGGTAGCTATAACCTTCAAGTCGTATTTTCCCTAGGTATATTGAATGCTACACCTACTATACCGTTATTTACGGCCCTTGAGTACCCCTAGTCTTTTCGTTTTATTCGCTGTAAACTTTGGATTGGTAGGTTGATGGACTATACAAGTGTATTTGACCAATGTATTGTGGGGTGGCATCCCTGTGCACATGTACATCCTCAAAAAACATCCAATGGCCAATCTCAAGCACCTTTCTTCTTTGCATATGGGCTTATCTGAAACTGGGGAATCCCGAAATTCATTGGCTAATCATCATGTTCGCTCTCAAATGGCGATGTTATGACATGTTGTGCCATTTTGGAAGTATACCCAATCTTCAGACACGATGCACTGTAGTTGTTGTACCACACGCACACACTGGTCTGGCATATGTATATATATATATATATATGTGCGCATGTTATATATATATTATATATACATTGAAATTTTCAAATATTACTATACACACATTATCACTCATCTATCTCGTTGAAACCGTTGTCATATCTCATTCATATCTTATTTATATCCCATGTATATACTATTCCATGAATATGCCATGAAATCCCATGACAAAAAAAGCAGGACGGCACCCTGAGCCAAAGCGACCTGCTGGGCGCTCTAGATTTGGCCTCCAATAGCCTGGCACCGTCGGGGACTCCCAGGGTCCCAGCGCGATCATGGGTAAAAATTTGAAGATTTGTTGCCCATATCTCATATGTACCTGAAAGTTGACAGTGTTCAACAAAAATCTCCAGCTGTTTAACGGATGGGCTGATTTTCTGGCTGGCATGGTTTACGAAGATTGATGAAACTCATAAAAACTCCGTGCGAGGAATCAGGGGGCACTTTCCATTTCCATGTTTGATAGGCGGTAGTCTTCCAGTTTAGGGCAGTTTTTCATTGAGAAAAAACACCCTGGGAACTGCGGCTGACATTCAGAAGCATCCCGAGAAGGGTGGTTCCTATCTTCAATGGCCATTTCAGGAACCTGAATTGGAGGTACCTACCATATATAAGGCCTATGTAAGGCCTATGTAAGGGAATATCCCAGCAAATATGGCCTTATATGGTACAGTACCTCCATTTTAGGATCCTGAAATTCCCATTGAAAATGACATGGCACCCGGAATTTGCCACCTTTGATGATGGACATGGAGGATTTCGAATCAAAAGACCTTACTGGAGGACTTTGGCTGGTGACTTCACCAAATGGCGAACATTTCATTCATTTATTTCACCCGGACCAGTCCGTGTCGACAACACAGGGTACTCACTCTTACAACACATCCCCTCCTTTTCCAGCAGTGTGAATACAGTGTGACCCTGGCTATCTGGTTATGGAGGAAGCTGTTGGGAGCTAACAGCTATGAGCATCTATATTCCTGGTTGGTGGTTTCAGTGGTTTCAAACATGTTTTATTTCTCCATATATTGGGAAGAATATTCACAACTGACTAATAATTATTTTTCAGAGGGGTAGGTATACCACCAACTAGGCATGCATATTCATTTCTCCATATATTGGAAAATGACCCATAGAAATAGATGCTTTACCGTTCTTAAAAATGGTGGATCTTTCCATGGCAAACTGGCAAACTGTTAGTCATAACCAGATGGGTTCCGCCCAAGTGAGTCCACTTCCAGCGCCCAGGTGTCTTTCCAACACTTTCAGAGTAGGTATACCACCAACTAGGCATCCATATTCCCATATACCCTCTGGTTATGTCAAAATAGCTATTGAAAATGGCCATTTATAGTGGATTTTCCCATAAAAAATAGTGATTTTCCATAGCTATGTTAAATTACCAGAGGGTATATCCCCAACGTTTATGGCCATGGCGAGTCAGTCGTCCACAGGACTATGGTCGCTGCATCGTCCCTGGGGCAAAGGGCACCTGTGGCAGGTTGGGAAACTGCGAGGGTTTGGGATCCGAAACGAAGCAACAAAAAAACGCCGAAACCACCGAGGATTAAATAGGTTTTCGGGGATTTCGTCCATTTAGATCCATTTAGTCAGTTGCAGTTGGTGGTTTCCTAAAATTGGGGCTCCTGCAGGTCAAATCATCCAAGTCGGACCATTTCATACCATTTTCATATTGAAACATTGAAAAACTCATGATTTTGGGGTACCTCCATGACTTTTCGGAAACCTCCCATCACTCCCATATAGGTCACTGGAAGATGAAATCCTCAGCCGCCCCCCAAACATCGGTGACGAAATATGGCAGGTCCGGATGCCAAAGCCTTGAAGCAGCAACTGCTGGTGGGATCGCCCAGGGGACTCGCAGGATCGCAGCAACAAAAAAGGCGGCATGGAATGCCATGGAATGGGAGGGATTCATATAATCTGGGTAAATGGTTAATAAGGGGAATCATCCCAAAATGGCCTTAATTCAGGTTAGTGAAATATTGTAATTTACCCAGAATGATCGTCTTCATAATAATTAGATAGATATAGATAGATAAAGATAGATATATAGATAGATATGTGGCGATTTTTGTTTGATGTTGAAGATTTTGAAGTTGATGTTTTCTTTCTGCGCTGATAAATTGATCTTGAATGTGCAAAGGTATGGCTATCCCATGTTTCAGGTTGATGCTGTTGAATTCTTCCGGGGGAAGGTTCGATGGTGGACCAGTCACGGCTGAAGTGACCCTGAACATTACCAGTTTGTAGTGGAAACTCATCTTCCAAGCCCTATCTGGCAGGGTCGTCATGTTAATTTACTGGACGGCAGATGGGCGGATCGTATGAGTCAATCAACTTAGCAGTTCATGCTTTCTTCTAGAGGCCTTTGTTCCTGCCCTGGGCTGCCCAGGTTTCAAAACGTTCCCTATTTCCCATCGGGAGAACAGGATGATGAGTCCCCAAGACCTTGTTTTTTGGAGGGGTGGGCTGTAACCACCCCAACTGCATCTTTCCCGGACTCGGATCAGTTTCATTGACTCATTGACACCCAAAAAATGTTGCCCCAGTAAACCATCCCAGAAACCAACCATTTGGGGCACAGATCATCCCACGTCACTAAAGGCACCCTCCGGCCTCCAGCGGCCCAGGTGAAGTGGGCCACGCTGTCCAACGCCTTTGACAAAATGGATCTGGATGGAAATCACCGGCTGAGCCGTCAAGAGTGGGGATGCCCAATTTTTGTTGGGAAGATCCATGGTGAATCAGGGTGATGGTCTTCACTCACCTGGGTTTTTTTGGTAGTTTAAGGGATGTTGTGCCAATTTAAACATATTAAACAAAAAGGGATTTAGCCATCACGGAGATTGAATCACCAAATATGATGAGCACTGGGTTGATCGAAGTGAGCATATAGTCGAAAAATGTCGCAAACATGGATTAAACATCCCAATAGCAGGCATTTTCAATCATTTTCATGCATTTCCTGTATCGCCTGAAACCCAGTCTGGGCCCTGGGAATGAACATTTTGTCCTCCCAGTCGGCTTCATTTGTGAAGTTCAGGAGCTCGGTTCGCCGGTTGGGAAAGCGCCCCGAACATGTTGGCGGCTCCATGCGGCTCCAGCACTAAGACGTGCCCGTAGATTATCGTCCTGGCTGTGGAGAAAGCGTCCGCCGCCATGGCCGTCGCTGCCCAGAGCGACCCAGCGGCGTCTCCCGCGCGGAAGACCCCCGAAGATCTTCCCGCGGTGCGGCCGGTGGCACCGGTGGCCAACGTGGCCGTTGCCAATGTGGGCCAGGTAGGGGTTTTCAAGTCGCGTTCTCCCGGTGTCCCCGCAACAAGTTGGCTGGTGTGGTTTGGAACGTTTTTTATTTTTCATATATTGGGAATGTCATCATCCCAAGTGACTCATATTTTTCAGAGGGGTAGGTATACCACCAAGCAGTTGGATTATTTCATAATTGTTCATTCCTTTTTCGCATTTTTCGCCATTTTCCTCCCAAATTCTTGGGGCCCATCCTTGGCCGTGCAGTATCCACAGGTGTCCAAGAACTTGTCTGAAGAGGGCAACGAGGTCATGCGGCCTGTTCCAGTGCGGAGCATCAAAAAAGTCGTCAGGACGTCAACTAGAGTGGTGCACACAGGAGCTGGGAAGCGGGAAAGGTGGGGGTATGATGGATATGAGATATTGATGCTCCAGGTGTACATGACCTAGGAGTATATTCAGCACAACTATGTCAGAGATATGATATATGTACTGTACTGTAAGTGAATGATAATGAACCTCATGAAAGTGCTGTAGTATGTGGTCAGTTTTGTGGTCTTTTTTTTTCAACCTTAAGTATTTGAAAGTGCCGTAGTCAAGGCATCATGTGTGCTCCACCCGCCAGAGCCATTGAACATTCTCCTTTTTTTGATTTTTTTTGTAACTCCCCCAGCCCCCCAAAAAACAGTACACCTGAGACCCAGGGAAACAGTTTCCACCCCCGAAGCGTGGCAGTACAAACACCACTGGAGAGAGAAATCGAAAGCATCGAGGGTCTTCGCCAATTTTCGCAGAAGCCACCCGCTGAGGCGCGTAACCGTGGTTTTCCACGATCCTTATGAGTTGAGCCAACGAGTTGAGCCGACCACCCAAAACATTGCCATTTTACTGGAGAACTAGAGAAAATGATGGTGAATCTCTGGAATTAGGGGCACCTGATTTTTAATTTTTAATCATGTTTAATCCAAACCACATGAATATTAGATTGATATCACTTCTATTGTATTGTTATCATTACTTTCTATCAGTACTTAATTACTCTGGATTACGGCTCACCATTGCTCTATCATGCTCTATCATTATCATTGCCAACCATTAGCATTGGCATTCTTGCTATATACTATTCTAGTAAATACATATTATATTATCTTGAATTACATTACAATTTTGTTATATTATACCGCATCATGTATTATAATTATAATATGTATATTATGTTATGATATTACATGCACTGTCACTATTTTTTTTGGGGTTGGTGGTTTGGAACATTTTTATTTTGTTTTCAGAGGGGTTGAAACCACCGTCAGGTCTCAGGCCGAGTATCTGTCTTGACGCCCACCACAGCGTCCCGAGCACCTGGGATAGGAAGATGTTGGTGGTTTGGAACATGATTTTATTTTTTGTCCCATATATTGGGAATAATCGGGCCCCAACTGACTTTCATAGAATGATGATCCCAACTGACGAACTCATAATTTTTCAGAGAGGTAGGTATACCACCAACCAGAATGTATTGGACATGTATTGGACATGTGGTTTCGTGTCAGACATCCAATTTTGGGGACAATTCCAGGTGGAACTATTGGAAATCAGACCGGCATGACAGAGCCCCCATTCAGACCATCAGAGGATGAGCCATCAATTAAACCGGGGTTTTCGATTTCACCAAATAAGATTGGTTGAGTCCCAGAACTGGTGGAAAGTTTTTTAAATAGCAACAACCCTGTATCTTTGATAGGGAACAAAATCCATGGCGGATTCCGGTTACCCGAGATTTTTCGAAACGTGTCTTGAGGCGCGTTTCCATGAGCAGCTGTGGCAGTGCTTCGTGGACCAGACTTGGCCTGATAAGGAGCAGATGGGTCGAAGATTTCGTTCACTTACCCTTTGGTTTCTTCTCTATCGTCCATTCCAGGATATGGCTAGATGACAGTGGATGACTAGATGATTGAGCTGGCACAGCTACAAAGATGGGTCATTTGTTCCACTGTTACAGTATGTTAGAGTTTGCGAACTGGAGCAGCACCATTCTTAAATAGCTGAATCACCATTTTTATCATGAGTTGTTATGGGCTAATTTCCATATATTATTTGAGTAACCGACAAAATATTGTAATAATTACTAATTTAGTTTTTGCTTTGCCTTGGCCTTTCCGAGGTTGCACAAAACCTTCATAACCGGTAGGGGATGACCCTATACCGATACCCCATTTGTAATACCTCCGGGAATACTGAAATCCTCACAACCGATAGGGGACGACCCTAATTTGTGCATGGCATCAATTTTAACATATGATTTTGTCCGCGCCGGGGGGGTATAAAAAAGATTCAGACGGAACCCATCATGTTAAATAACCGGAGGGTATACGCCCAGTTAAATAACATCCATATGAATCATTTCTGGTTGGTGGTTTGGAACATTTTTTATTTTCCATAATGTATGGGATAATCCTTCCTATTGACTAATATTTTTCAAGATGGTTAAAACCACCAACCAGATTTGTAATGTCAACCCAGATGCTAACCATGATTCATAAACTCTGCATGAGCCAGGGTTCCCCCGCGGTTCTGTATCAGGTGAGAGGAAACGCTCTTGATTTTTTTTCACTTTGGGCATCAGACAGGTCTGTGGTGGATACCTTAAAAAAATGCAGGTTTCATGTGGGAAAACCTCCAAAAAACCTTGGATGAACTACGTTCAATCCTTTGGGTTTTTGTCTACATGAATAGATGAAACACCACCATAAACAGCAAACAGATGATATATATTTTTTGTGGACTACCACAGGTTGACCATGAACATGATGGATGACCCTCTGGTAACCATGGCAGATATTTTCCCATTTCGTTGCCAAGCACCAGTCCATTTTGGGCGATAGGATATGATAGGTTACCCGGTTACCCTAGGGTAAACTAAGATAGATGTGGAAAATGGATGAACATAGCCCATTTATGGATGAATTACCTATTAAAATGGTGACTGTCCACATCTATTTTAGTTTGCCCCAGGGTATACCTCAAGATATTTGTGCTTCTAGATATCATAAACCTCCTTGAGCTGGAATTGCCATTGACGACTCGCAGATTTCGAAATGAAGCACAGTAGACATTTCAGTAGCAACCTGTATTGGGAATACAATTGAAGCACGAGGTATACACGTGACTAATTTTTCATAATATAAGTATATGTATGTACAGTGTATATATAAATATATATATATACTATGTAGGTGTCAATTTTGATTTTGTATGTACATAAATTGTATATTTCTATCTATATTTTCATCTGTGATTATGTTCATGTATTTTTTGCATATATTACCAGTTTAAACTTCAATACTTCAGTCCAGCGGTAGGAGCTGGTCGTAGTGGAAACCTACACCAAGAAGGAGAAGCCTTCTGAAGTCTTCACCAAACTAGTCAAGGACGGCATTAGACGACAATGCAGCGCTGATTGGGTTGCCATTCCTGTTGAAGTTGGCAGATGTTGGCAGTGATGATGGATTGATGGGGTATAATGACTTCCAACATCATCAATGTTGATGGATTATCCATGATTATCCCATTATGACAGGACATCAATCCAAGTCATTGATGATGGATTATTCCTCGAAGTGATGATGGGGTATAATGGGATTGATGTCCTGTGAAAATGTCAATGACTTCGAGGGAAAATCTCGAGGAAAGCACGGTCCACGGGAATGTTCCTATCAGCTAAACCAAGCAATGGATCAATGGGATGAAACCAACTTCGAGTCGGGTACTGTACGCCCAAAAAAATGGCAAGAACTTGAACTTTTTCCAAGGCAAGTCCTTGCCCCTCGGTTTTATCGAAGGATATCCACTGATTATCATTGGAAGTCGATCAGTAAAATCTTGGATGGTTGACTTGTCGATCGTTGATTGGGGGAATGATCCCGAAATCATCCCATGCCGAAAGGGCCTGAAATGTTAAGTCTAACAGCTATGTTCAGGTGAAAATTATTATCATTCAGCCAGAACCTATAGCTGGTTGATGCTGGTTGGTAGTTTAAATCTGCTGTTTCTTCAACCATAAAAATTGAAGATCATCATTATCCCACTGGTCATTCAGATATCTTTCAGATATTGGTGGCTCAAGCACCAATCATTTTCCACTAAGTATGTCCATCATTTCTATTCCCATCATATTTCCATTGCCATTCCCCGAGCACAGCTGCCGTGGAGCAATCATCCAGGCGAAGGAACCGCGACTGAAATATCTGGGACTCCAAGTGGAGAACGAAGACTTCACGGTCGGCGCCAAGCGATCTTGGGTTGATGAGATGGAGAAAATTCCAGATCGAACTCTATGGCTGCTTTCTTTTTTGAGCGATCTAAATTATGTATGAATAGATTATTAGATTGTTTATTTTTTCAGTGACCGATCTACATGCATATATATATAGATAGATAGATAGATAGATAGATAGATAGATAGATAGATAGTATACGACAATATGTAGTATAATGACGTATAATGCATATATATATATAGTCATGTTGCTGTACTGTGTGTAGATCCTGCTTGCTGGTGTGTAACTTGAATGGATCGTGAAATTGTAATGCCCGTTGCCCATTAAAACTCTCAAGTCTAAATGGTCAGTGCAATGAAAGTTGTAAGTATATATGCGTATAGATGTATGATGATGGTGATGATGATCATGATGTGCGCACGCAACTGTACCTACATACATCTATGTATATTTGTTTGCCCATTTATCTGTCCATATTGCAGATAGAAGCACAGGCACATCCATGTAGAAATGCATATGTAGATACGTTGCGCAGCTCTATCTACCTGGGCAAGAGCACACGCACAAACATAGGTCAATAGCAGCACAAAAGCGCCCATGTGAATATTCACTATTATGCATGTATATACATATATATCTATTTGTCCATCCCTATTTATATATCGCAGACTTGCACATGCTCTTTCATTTTGGAAAGAATGCTGATGGTGACCAGAAGACCATGCGACGGAACATCCCATGGATTTTTTTTTGAACGGGATTGATTCAAGAACGGTGAGGGACCTGAACCTTATTATTGTTAGCAGTCACATTTTTAGTGTTAGCTTGAAACTGAACTATCAGTTTCCTTCAAGATTGGAGCTGCAAGTTATCCCATGACGTTTGCGATAGCTGTTCCCTTCGATGTTTGTGGCGTGGAACGTCGACAAGGGGTTTTAGCACAACTTCTTGGACAGAACAGCAGATCGAGGAAAAACCAGGCGCATCATGGAGGCTTCATGATGCGATAGGCTATTCCTCGATCTGCTGTTTTGTCCAAGAAGGTGACCTTGATGCCATCTCTCCGGATTAAGCCCTGGTGGTTTTGGATGCTGCCGGAGAGGTTGTGGCGGCCACGTGCCAGGCACTCAGACCATCGGGCCGAGCTCATGGCCCTTGCAGCACTCACATGGGGAGCTTTTTCAGCTGTTGAACTTTGTTTGTGGTCGGACTCTCAATCCACCATTCATGTAGCCGAGCACATCCAGAAGTTCGATGAGATACCAGAGGGTGCCTCCAACCATGATCTTTGGCATTTGGTGCAGCAGGCATTGCGTGACAGAGCAGGTGTCTTAGCATGTTTTCACGGGGTACCTTCACATGTTCCAGCGTCAGAGGCTGAAGATCCCTTCGAGGAATGGGTGATTCACTGGAATGACTTGGCTGATCAGTTGGCCGTGCACACCAACTACCAACGCTCAGCTGCTTTCAAGCAAATGCATCAGGCATTGAGGAACCCCCTGCATCACTGGGATATTAGACTCCAGCAATTGCAGCAGTTCTTTTTCCTGGTTGCCGACCGTGAGTCCAGGACCATTGATGGGGACAATGAGACCATTCATATTGAGTCTTCAGATGAAGACGACATGCTTTGGACGGCCATTGAAGACAACCTCCCGGTCAACTGGCAAGTGCAATGCCTCCACAACCATGCTGCTGTGCCTGGAGCTTTTTTGGTGGGGCTCATTAACTGGCTCTGTGCGGCTGAGCGTCTGAGAGGCCCAATTCATGGTGTCAGTGAACTTGAATTAGTTTTCTTTTTGCTTTTGGACAAGGATTGTGCATTGCCTTTCCAGGTAGATGGTTCGTTGGGGGTGCACCTGAGAACACCGGACAGCCTTTTCCAACGACCAACGGTAGGTCACATGCTGAGATCTGTGCAGCATGCTCTCAAGAGCATATTTCAGCTGTTTCCTTTTTTTGCCATCAAGCTGCCACGGGCTCCAGCACCAAGCCTGGGTGTACAAATGCAATTTGCGGGTCTACGGATTTCTGAACCTAGCCTGCTGCGGCAAGAGATGATGGCGAATTTGAGGCGCTTCACGGCGACCAGGCCGATCAGGCGTGTTTCCGATTTAGCTAGGCCAGTGACCTAAACCAGACTGAGCTGTACAGCACTGCATTGCCGTGCTTGCAGCCTGAGAAGTCGTCCGAGCTATATATTGCATACTTGCACGTGCTCTTTCATTTTGGAAAGAATGCTGATGGTGACCAGAAGACCATGCGACGGAACATCCCATGGAGTTTTTTTTTTTGAACGGGGTTGATTCAAGAACGGTGAGGGACCTGAACCTTATTATTGTTAGCAGTCACATTTTTAGTGTTATCCCATGACGTTTGCGATAGCTGTTCCCTTTAATCATTGTGGCGTGGAACGTCGACAAGGGGTTTTAGCACAACTTTTTTCCATGGCGAGCTTTGTGGTTTCTTCGAAAAGTTGCTGGGTGGTTCTCATATGTTCTCATGATGAGCCAAGCAGACCATGAAACTCTCATCATGAAACCGATCTTTCTGTTTTTCCGCTGTCAAATGCTGTTGCTTTTCCATCGCCACTTGATATGATGAACCCCGGTCACCAGGCCTGGAGAGGTTGTTCTCTGCTTGGCGCTCAGGAAATATGACAGTGCTCATGAGCAGCGGACAGACACTCGCTGCATTTGGAATGGCTGGGTTAGTGTTGGATGGTTACTTTCGTACATTTTGAATCATTTTGATACATAATCATTACATAATCATTGCGATAAATGATTGGATTCCTACCAGCCAGGGAAAGTTCAGAGATTTTTTTTTGCCGGGTACCGTTCAGATGGGGCATGGTGATAAAATCATCGCCCTCAGAGGTGGCACATGTCATTCGCCCTCGTATTCCTGGTAAAAAAACATCCAAAAAGGCAGCCAGCACAACAATCAAACGTCCAATTTTGTCCAGACGGCATTATTCTGTTTGTTTATACATGAATTTATATAATCATATTATATATATATATATATTATATAGACATATATACAGTATATATACAGTATATTTTATGTGTTTGTGTGAAAATAAACATTTTTAAAAAATATATACGCACTACATATTATGTGTCCATTTGGACGATCATTTGTTCCTCACTGACGAATCTTCGCCATGCAGCATGGCCCGGCCCTTCATGACTGCCTTGAGGGGTGTTTCCCGTTGCTCGGTGGGGCCCATATGATACTTACCTTCGGCGCTCTGGTAAACATACAAAAAGCGACATGGAAAATGGCCATTGAAATAGTTGATTTACCCATGAATAGCATGGTGATTTTCCATAGTTTTCTGTAAACGTTTACCAGAGGGTAAGACTTAAGATCCACCCAGCGATGCTGCAAAGGTACTGTGTGAACTTTGATGATGATGACTTGTATGCCACTGTCTATGTGGAGCGCATGGTGAACGAGCTTAGACAGAAACGCGGTTGCAGCCAGCCTTTGCAATGCTGACAGTGGCAGTCGCAAATGTTTTCCCCGCTGCGCAACTTGACATTTAATGTGACTTTCTGTGCCAAGGGAAAATGCAATGCTGTCGCACTTGTGTTGTTTTACCGAGGACGAACTGACTTCAAACTGTTGATTGGCAGGATAAATGGGGATAATGTGCCAATGATTTCCTTCACGGGAGACGGCTCCGAAACTGCTTGACTGGTAGATACGGTTAGTGCTTGGACTCGGGACATAGCCTTCCCAAGATGATTCAATATGATTCATATGGACACTCTCAAGATAGGTGAACATGCAGAAACGAATAATTGAACAGATGCTGCTGCTGTTGATGATGATGATAATGATGGTGATGATGGTGATGGCGATGATGATGACCATGGCAGATCTGAAGAGTGCAGTGTCAGTTCCTCTCCTCATACCTTTGCCGTTTCTTTGTTAGTCATGATCAATCCTCCGTAGTGATTGCTGGTCGAAAAATCAGACAAACCTCACATGGATCGTCGACTCTCAGTGATAGCTTACCCAATTCATTTCCCCGCGCTCAACTTTTGGTTCATTCGCCCATATTACACCCCACCCCTTTATGATGTATCCCCATTATTGTCAGGTTTTTGTTGGTCAATCTACCATCTTGTTTCTTTGGTGAAGCCCCTGCCTGCCTTGGGCTACTTATATCACTTACGGCTTACAGTATATTACTGCAATCATGTTATTGTTGGGTGGCATATGTTGGATGAACAATGATGAACATTTATTGTTGTTGGTGGTTCCAGACCAGCTGCTTGCCTACACAAGAACATTTTTCTAGACCCTGTATGGGTCTCACGGTGAGAATTGTTGGCCAGAAGCACCATGGCTTGAGAGAGATACCCATTCCGCATGTTTTGTCGGCAAAAAATCCCCTGATTTCTCGTTGCCGCATTTTATTAGTACGCGCCGTGTGCGTGAGGGACCGTGTTTTTTTTTTAATCAAGATTGAATCAGCATGAATGTGTCATGTTTGCCTGCAGCCATTTGGTAGGTTTGTGTAAGTGTATCGTATCATGTCGTAATTTGATATAATTTATGTAGCCATAGCGTCTCAAAAGCATCAATGTGTTCAGGGAGTAGAACATAATTTATTTCGGATTTGAGTGGCCTTTTGTTTCATTAAGTTAATTACTGTATGTAACATGGTCCAATGTAGTTACCCTCTGGTAATTTAACATAGCTATTGAAAATGGCAATTTATAGTTGGTTTACCCATTAAAAATGGTGATTTTCCCAATGCTATGTGGCTGTTTACCAGAGGGTAACGGGGTATAGAACAGCATATAAGAAGCAGAGAGAATGCCAATGGAAGTTGCGTCTTTGATGATCTCGTCTTCCCAGATGCCAAGGAACGTTATTCGCCCCACCCCAACCCCCATGTGCCTGGGAAAAGTGAGAAGACGCTGCGTATATTTTGATGGTCCCGGAGGCACACAAGGCACACAGTACCAATTAGTACAGCAATCCCAATCGTTTGTTGCCTGAGTCAGTGATAGTGGTTGCCCCAATGTCTTCCGAGATATTCCGAGGTGCTTTGCCAAAGAAAAACCATAAACCGGTGATGCTCCTGCAACCGAACAGGGCTGAAAATCCCACAATTTCCCATATGCATATACACTGTCTCCCATTTAGTATATTTAGTTGAGGGGTTTCCCAGCTAGCCATGTTTGATGACAGCAGAGGGTAAAACATGATGAACTTCCCAAATTTGAATGGTTTGTTGAATCATGTCCGTCATAATCCGATTATATTACTTTATTTCCATTATATTCCCATTTTGGTTGTGTAATCCTGCTAGTGAAGTTGGTCCCAATCTTGCCGCTTAAATCACCAAGAATTTTGTGGGTGAAATTCCCATAACTTGGCAGCTGAAAAGTTCCCGAAAAGTTCCCGTTCCGGGCCCCTGAACAAACCACAGCTCAATGGATTGGTTTTTCAGGAAACACCTATTTCGGAAATCCCCATGATCTTAATGGGAAAATCAAAAAAAATCCGGTGCCCAATCCGAAAACCACAGCAGCCCAGGAGAAGTTTGGTCGCGCTGACCCTCTCTGCATGGCACAACTTCTTCGAGTCCAACGGTCGCTGTGGATATTCCGAGACTCGGTCGTATGGTCGAGCTCCGAGGGCTTTGGGATGCGGGAGGTTTGGGATGTTTTTAGCTGCAAAAAAAACATGATTTGATGGGATTTAATGAGATTTTTCATGGGATTTACCCTCTGGTAAACTAACATAGCTATTGGACATCACCATTTTTAATGGGAAAATCAACTATAAATGGCCATTTTCAATAGCTATGTTAAATTACCAGAGGGTAATGGGATTTTTCATGGGAATAGCATGGGCATATCATGCTTTAATCATGTTTAATAATGATGAATGTGGGACAGCCAATCATAAACTACCATTTGGGGATGGTTTGTAGCACCAATTGATGGTGAATTTCGGGGATGGTTTTATTGGGTGTAACACATATCTTTTCATCAATGAGAAATTCTAACTGACTATTGCTATTCAACCAAACATATGGATATTTTATGGGAAATTGTGGGGATTAACTAGCCATAAGTGCAATTTGATAACTCAAACGTATTACTAATGACTACTATTCATGAATCATGTGGACATTTTATGGGAGAAAAGGGGGGGGTAGTAATACATCATAAGTGAAATTTGGTGGGGATGAACTAGCAATAATTGAGGGTGAATGGATGGGGGAATCTTTGACAATGGAGACATAGTGGGAGATATCATGGAATAACCCTTTTCTTCCGAATAGGGGTTTAAGAATTCAACAACATGGAATTAAGATTGTTTAGCGATCCAGAAATGACATGGCCACACACCAAACGAAGTCGTGGTTTGGTATTGGATCTATTCAGGAACTGGGGTACCAAAAATGTGGTGGATTTCAATATTAGCAGGGATGGGGTTACAGTGGCAGAGCCAAAAATCAACTGCCCAAAATGATTTGGGGGATACAAAAAAAAATGCTCCAGAAATAGGACTATGGATTTCGAGTTAATCAATGGCCATTTCAGGTACCTAAACTGGAGGTAGGGTACAATATAACACCATGTTTGTATGTCCCCTCACATAGCCCTTACATAGACCTTATATATGGACCTCCAATTTAGGTTCCTGAAATGGCCTCTGATTCTATGGCATTGCATTTGCGATGGATATGGGGGATTAAATCTACCTGAACTAACAAAGCATTCCTCCAAGTGACCAAGGGGTTGAGTATGTACTGGTTTACTTATCAGAGACACAACTGTTCGAAGGTTGCGTTTTTTTTTTACGGGGTCTTAGGTTGTCTTAGGCTACCCTTGGTAATTTGTTACATACCTATGGGCAATGACCAATTTGGTTTGATGATTTCCCGTTTTGAAAACTGGTGATTTCCAGTTCGCAAACTGCAACCAATTCCCAGAGGGTAGCCCCAGACATGGAGCTTTCCTAAGTCATGGGGGTACCCGTACCAACAAATCATCCAAATCATCAGACCATGACTTAGTGACTTGAAACAACCATGGTGACGACTGGGGCTCCCCACTTTGAAGAACCCCCCACATATTCAGGGGTCATTCTGGGGCACGCAGCATGTTCCACTCCCTCCGACCCCCTTTGCTCAGACTCCCGACTGCTGGGACCCCGAGGAGAGAGTTGTTGGGAGGGGCTGGACTAAAGCCTGGCTTGTTACATAGCTTTGAACAGGGCCATTTGCCAAAGAAAATGGCGATTTTCCAGAGCTATGTTGGTTTACCAGAGGGTCATCTAGTAAGGGGAATCATCTCAAGATGACCTCATTCAGAGTTCGGACATCTTAAAGTTTGTCCACATGGTTGGTGAACAGGGTAGCTTCAGGATGTTTCAGATATTGTTGAACACACTGAACACCCGAAATTTGCCACTTAGCAATCCTCAAAATGGCATGGAGGAGGGCGATTTCCGCAGGATGCCCCAAAACCTTTTTTGTCCACTGGAATAGGCCACGTTTGGTGTGGTATATGTAATTCTGATGGAGCAACCGGCTGGACACCTTTACTGGAAACAATGTTCATCTCATTCCAGCATATTTTGACTCATGTTTTGGGTGTCTAAAGCTCCTCATGGTTCAGTGGCTAGCAGCTAGCTGCAGGATCATGAAGAGTACGAGGGCATCCTCTATGGTTATGGCTTTAGCTATGCCTCCTTGACTGCGGAATGGGGGCGGTTTCCGAGCTGGCCGCGCTGGCCATATAGATGTCTGGAGAAGCTTTATCGTCGTGATGGAATACGGTGCGTGATTTCGTTTCTTCCTTTTTCTCGAACTTATACACACACACACACACGCATATATATATATATATACATACACAGTATACGTTTATGATTTTAGAATTATACATTTTTTAGGCCTTAATACGTCAGTTGTCCTCTTTTCCACGAATACCGGTTCCCGAGGTTTACCTCCGGGCCTTGGCGCTTTCATTTCCATATCCCAACTTAGGGTTCGCAGAGGAGCCGCAGGGCTGGGCTGAGGATGGCCGCGCTGGGCTGAGCAAATCAGGGTGAATCAACCAATTTTCATTGCACATTTTGGAGTTATGAAATTGAAAATTTAACATAGCTATTGAAAATTTGATGGTTTTCTTGCCATATGGTTTGATAGACTCTGTTCGGAACCAAATCTGGCTGGCCAGATTTGATTCGGTGCTTCTTTTTATGGACTTTGCCTTATTCTAATTCCAGCTGAGGTTGTAAGTACACATAGGGGTACCTATGCAACATGTGTCACATAGTACCCCTTGTTGCTGGCTAGAGTTACTCCGTTGTGCAAGTGCTTGGCTCTGCCCCAGCTTTTCAGAGGTGGTTGCGCCATGTAATGTATTTAACAGTGAAAAAATCCTTTCCCAAAATTTACCCGAAAATAGCACATACTGTATGCCTGAAGATAGCGCAACCCTACATGTACCATCTATCAGACCTTTTCTGGGAGTACTGCCTGTGTAAAAGGGATGTTCTCACCTGTTTTTTCTGATGCTTGCCAAGAGGATAAGAGGGTTGCTTGGGTTGTAACCACTTTGCTTGCATTTCTTTCTTGACCAAAGAACATGGCTGGTGAGAGCGGCAGATGCGGCGTCAAATTGGGCCTTCCCCTCTGGCATGCCCAAAATTTCTTGCCAACTGGCAGCACAAAGGACCCCTGCCATGATAGACAGGCTCTCAGAGGCACCTTTGGTCGTGAGTGCTACATATTCCTTGGGCAAACCTTCGGTCAACTTGGCCATTTCGGAATGAAACTTCGCCATCATTTCAAGTTTCGGTCCCAACTCCTTCAAGTTGATGCGGAGCTCCGCAAAAGTCGGATCTTCTGTCTTCAGCCACTTCACCACTTCTTCCTTCGCTTTTCGCGTCCTTGGTCCAGTGACAACGTGAATTTTCTTACAATTATGAATGGGTTCCGGCTAGAAAAATTATCTGTTAAACATGACCCATCCGCACGCAAGCTGGCAGCCAACTCTTGTAAAAAAAACTAGCACGCCACCAAGCAATGCTGGCAGCCAGCTCTAATGAAAAATTGGCACGCCACCAAGCAAGCTGGCAGCCAGCTTTCGCAAAAGAGCTGGCACGCCGCCGAGCAAGCTGGCAGCCAGCTCTTTTGAAAAGCTGGCACACAAGCAAGCAAGCTGGCAGCCAACTCTTTCAAAAGACTGGCTTGCCACTGAGCAAGCTGGCAGCCAGCTTTCGCAAAAAAGCTGGCACGCCACCGAGCAAGCTGGCAGCCAGCTCTTTCCAAAAACTGGCACGCCACCGAGCAAGCTGGCAGCCAGCTTTCGCAAAAAAGCTGGCACGGCGGCAAGCAAGCTGGCAGCCAACTCTTTCAAAAGACTGGCACGCCAACGAGCAAGCTGGCAGCCAGCTTTCGCAAAAAAGCTGGCACGCCGGCAAGCAAGCTGGCAGCTAGCTCTTTTGAAAAACTTGCACGCCACCAAGCAAGCTGGCCAGCTTCAACAAAACGTCATGTCCAACACTTTCGAGCTGAGCAGCACATCGGCAAATTCTTCGTAAGCCTTCGTGCACTGCTTGTGGAGGTTGTTGTGCATCTCCTAAGTTCTGCAAAAGTCAGCACACCACACCTTCAAGCAAATATTTTCAAAACAATGGCTGAAAAAAACACAGAAGCCTATCCTTCTCCAAACAGCCCATCTTCTGAAGAAGGATGGTTCCGAGCTGACCTCCTTGGCAATGCCCTGGACTCATCAGCTCATTGTTCACATCGCACCATGAGCAAACCCCCATGGTTGGGAGCTTCTGAGTTCCACTTCTGTCAATGTCCAAGGAAGCGGAAACTTTGAAAGTGCTCACCCCATCTTCGGAATCGCACCTGATGTTCATGGGCTCCTTCATCAGCGCTCGCACAGTCAAGAGCACTTTCCACAGGTGGCTTGCGGCCATGTTGTCATTGACCGCCCCATGAGCTTCAAACCACTGGCTGAGCGTTTTCATTGAACTTCCCATTGATTGTGTCTCCAACTTGTGAAGGACAGAAAGATTAAGACTGTGTGGAGGTGCCTCTCCTTGCGCCACCTTCAGAATCAAATCTATGCTGCTGTCTACTTCCTTGCACTTCTGGAAAACTCCATGAAGGGTCTTTTCTTGGAGGCTTTCATACCGAGACTCCAACTGGGCAGCCCACTCCTCCACCATCCTTTTCTCCTCTTGAAACGGCATGGGAAGTGTTGAGAGAAGCTGTGACAACCCACAGAATTGCGCCAGGTCAGGGCCATCCTTCCGATTGACTTTGCGGTAAATCTGGACAAACGCTGTTGCAGACTTGTATTGGCCTTGCAGCTTGCGCGTACTTTCCCTTGTCCAACCCCAGTCAGTCACCAAACACAGAGGTGCTGCCTCAGCATCTTCATGTTTGAGTGAATCCATGGCCGCCGTCAGCTCAGTGTCTAAGAAGTCCAAGAAAAAATCCTCTGCAGACGCAAGTTTGCCTGCAAGCTCTAGGTCATGCGGCTCACACATGCGCGCTTTCGCCACCAAGGCAGGCACCACGCTGAAGAGATCCTTTTTCTCCTTTTCACTGATGTGACTTAGCATGCTCAGAACCTCAGCACGTGTGGCTTCCTTCACTTCATCCACGCTCTCTTCAGCCAGCTGCTTCTGCAAGTCTTGCAGGTTTTTCACATGCTTCGCCACCAGCTTCCCCACGCTGCTTTTCGCCTTGCAAATCCACTCCACCGCTTTCTTCGCATCGTCGCTCAAAGCAGTGCCATTTTCCAAGCCCAAGACCGTGAGGAAACCTCGGTGAATCAGCAAAATCAAACTTGGATAAAGCCAAGTCTTTAAATTAAACGAAACCCGTCAGCTTGGTCAAGCTTTATCCGGCCGGGTTTGAGATCAGAGGCAAAGAGATCGAAATCTCGGCCAGATACAGCCAGATTTAATCAGATCAGATCAGATCCAATGAGATCCAAGCAGATCTGGCTAGATCTCAGCCAGATTCAGCCAGTTCCGGCCAGATCCAGCCAGATTTAATCAGATCAGATCCAACAAGATCCAGCCAGATCCAGCCACATCCATCTAGATCTAGCCAGATCCACCCACATTTAGTCCAATCAGCTCGAAAGAGATCCAACCAGATCCAGCCAGAGCTAACCCAACCAGATCTGGCCAGATCTCAGCCAGATCCAACCAAATCTGGCCAGATCTAAGCCAGACACAGCCTTGTTGAATTAGATCACCCAGCCAGATCCAGCCAGATCTGGCCAGATACAGCCATATTGAATTAGATCAGATCCAGCCAGATCCAGCCAGATCCGGCCAGATCTGGCCAGATCCACCCAGATCTAGCCAGATCCAGCCAGATCCGGCCACTAGCAAGATCTAGCCGCAGATCCAACCAGATTTAATCAGTCGAACGAAATCCAAGCACATCCAGCCAGACCTGACCAGATCCAGCCAGACCTGACCAGATCCAGCCAGATCATAGATACCATTAAATCTAATCAATTCAGATCCAGCCAGATCCAGCCAGATCCAGCGAGATCTTTGCCAAAGCAATTCAGATCCGGCCAAATCCAGCCAGATCTAGCCAGATTCAACCTGATTCATCAGATCAGATCCAACGAGAGCCAACCAGATCCAGCCAGATCCAGCCACATCCATCTAGATCTAGCCAGATCCACCCACATTTAGTCCAATCAGCTCGAAAGAGATCCAACCAGATCCAGCCAGAGCTAACCCAACCAGATCTGGCCAGATCTCAGCCAGATCCAACCAAATCTGGCCAGATCTAAGCCAGACACAGCCTTGTTGAATTAGATCAGACCCAGCCAGATCCAGCCAGATCTGGCCAGATACAGCCATATTGAATTAGATCAGATCCAGCCAGATCCAGCCAGATCCGGCCAGATCCAGCCAGACCTGACCAGATCCAGCCAGATCTGGCCAGATTTCGGCCAGATACCATTAAATTTAATCAATTCAGATCCAGCCAGATCTAGCCAGATCCAGCCAGATCCAGCGAGATCTTTGCCAAAGCAATTCAGATCCGGCCAAATCCAGCCAGATCTAGCCAGATTCAACCTGATTCATCAGATCAGATCCAACGAGAGCCAACCAGATCCAGCCAGATCCGGCCAGAGCCGGCCAGATCCAGCCAGATCCAGCCACATCCATCTAGATCTAGCCAGATCCACCCACATTTAGTCCAATCAGCTCGAAAGAGATCCAACCAGATCCAGCCAGAGCTAACCCAACCAGATCTGGCCAGATCTCAGCCAGATCCAACCAAATCTGGCCAGATCTAAGCCAGACACAGCCTTGTTGAATTAGATCACCCAGCCAGATCCAGCCAGATCCAGCCAGATCCGGCCAGATCTGGCCAGATCCACCCAGATCTAGCCAGATCCAGCCAGATCCGGCCACTAGCAAGATCTGGCCGCAGATCCAACCAGATTTAATCAGTCGAACGAAATCCAAGCACATCCAGCCAGATCCAGCAAGATCCAGCCAGACCTGACCAGATCCAGCCAGATCTGGCCAGATTTCGGCCAGATACCATTAAATTTAATCAATTCAGATCCAGCCAGATCTAGCCAGATCCAGCCAGATCTTTGCCAAAGCAATTCAGATCCGGCCAAATCCAGCCAGATCTACCTGATTCATCAGATCAGATCCAACGAGAGCCAACCAGATCCAGCCAGATCCAGCCAGATCTAGCCAGATCCAGCCAGATCTGGCCAGATCCAACCAGATACAACCAGACCCAACCAAATTTAATCAGCCAGATCCAGCCAGATCCGGCCAGATCCAGCCAGATCACAGCCAGATCCAGATCCAGCCAGATCCAGCCAAATGTAATCAGATCAGGCCAGATCCAACCAGATCTAGCTAGATCCAAGCAAATTTAATTAGATCACTTCCAACGAGATCCAACCAGATCCAGCTAAATGATTAGATCTTCTTGGATCTGATGTGAATAGATCTGCCGAATTTGTTGGAATCTG